ATCCGGTTCATAACTCGAGGCAGAGTTCGCAACTCGAGGTAAATTTTTGGGGCCGGAGCTGGTCGTATCTCGAAAAATTCGTGAGGGGCGTTCATAACTCGAGGCAGAGTTCGCAACTCGAGGTAAATTTTTGGGGCCGGAGCTGGTCGTATCTCGAAAAATTCGTGAGGGGCGTTCATAACTCGAGGTACCACTGTATTCTCCTTTATCTCAGTAAATGATGGCTGCTACTGATCCTTTAGGAATTTTAAGATAGATTTGGGAAACATGGTAAAATCTGATTGTCCTAGTTTTCTTTTTTTTTTGGTATTCCCTAGTTTGGCAGAATAAGGAAAAAGGTAAAAAGGCCCAAGATATCACAACAACTAATAGCATCACTTGCCAATCCATCTATATTTCTGTAACAATATCTACTTTCCTCCCACTTCCCCTGTGAACATGTATCTCAAATGAGCCACTGTGAAATGTATAATGTGTTTCTTACATAAAAAGTCATCAAAATGTTTTCACTAATAAATGCCCCTAGCTGTCTCAATCAAATGACACTATGCAAATATTGCTTTTATAGGAAAAAATAATTATATGGCAATAGGAATGAGAAAACATAATGAACAGGGGCTGAACATCTAGCAGTCCATGTAGGAGACATGGTGGTGGTGGTTCAGTACAAGCCTTGTATCCCACAGATAGGGCTGTGTCAGGACTTCCCAATTTTAAATTATTTTATTTTATTTGTGGCTGGATCCTTGGCCCAGGAATTAGTTCCCCCACCTAGTGTTGGACTTCTGGATATTTGTTTCCCAATCCTTGGATATGATTAATAAAAAACAGATCTGTTTTCTTTCCATCATATATGGATAAACCATAAACATTGATCAGGACATCTTTTTGGTTTAAAAAGAACATCCTTGCATTTTTCATTTTTTTTTCCCTTAAGAAAATAGTGCAACATTTCTTAAGGAAAGAGTACAGCATTTGCAGATAAATCAGATCATGATGAGGGAATTATGCATAAAACCAAAGGGATAGCATGGGGAAGAGAGGAATAGAAAGTTGGATGAATCAACTAATTGAAGGAAGTTCAAGTAAAAGGAAGGAATATAAAGTTGGTTTATTTGATAAAGGTTAAAATTAGACATTTATTTGCAAAGTTCTGGCAAACTTTGTGGACTTTTTGCTGACACCAGGATTGAAAAGTTGATGTTTTATGGATTTGCTTATAGATAAGGGATGGGATATAGGATGAAGAGATATCTGTTCTTATGCGGGTGAAGAGTTATGAAATGTATTTATATTTGTTGTGATGAAGGTTGGGAGTAACTTCTTTATATATTTCTTTTCTTTTTATTATATTCTTTCTTTTCTTTTTA